CTAATCGTTGCTGCATCAATTTGTTAGCGCATACTTATGCTAGAACCTTTTGGACACCATATGCAACACATTGTATAGACCTCATGCTGCTTTTGGCAGTTTAACCGAGATATTAGGTGCAGTGAAGAAGGCCAAGTTAGTTACAAATTTCATTTATAGTCACCATCTCACGCTCAGCATGATGCGTACCTTTACAAAGAAGAAAGAGATTGTGAGGCCTGGGTTCACGATATTTGTGACCTGGTACTCATGCGTAGATAGCATACATTCGAGGATAGTGCAGTTGAGGCAAATGTTTATCTCAGATGAGTGGAGAGAATGCAAATTGTCTAAGGATCAGGTTGGGAAGAAGATGAGAGATATTATGCTTTCTAAGGCTTTTTGGAGAGGGGTGAAGGGCGCTCTTAAGGTATTTTTTTCTCTTGTCAAAGTCCTTTGCATGGTTGATAGTGACAAGCCTTCTTTGGGCTACATATATGATGTTATGGAGAAATGCAAAAGAGAGATGGCCCAAAATTTCAATGATGAAGAAACCTGCTGCAAGCCTGTTTGAGAGATTATTGATGAGAAGTGCGATAGGCAGCTACATCAGCCATTGCATGCAGCCGGTTATTATTTGAAGCCAGTTTTTTTTTATATTGGCAAGGATATACAAACAAATGACACAATTATGAATGGATTTAATAAGTGTGTAGATGTGCTAGTCCCTGATCTTGATATGCAGGATATTATATACGTTGATGAGTTGATAAATTACAAGTGCTCATTAAAGTCTTTTGGGAGTCCAATGGTGATGAGGCAAATGACCAAAATTAATGCATGCATTAATAATATTCTTAAGTTCATCTTCATCAAGTTCAAATAATCAAGTAATTCTATTATTTATTTATGATTTTTTTCTATATCTTTGCAGCCCATTGGTGGAGCCAACATGGGTGTAGTTCTCCAAATTTACAAAAGTTGGCCATTTGGATCTTAAACCTTACCACTTCTTCATCCGGTTGTGAGCGCAATTGGAGTACTTTTGAAGGGGTAAGGCCATAAGGGTAATTTGTGTAATTTTATAAATAATACATGAACCATAGATATTAGATTTTAATTAATTTCATTTGATTTTGTTAAATTCATACAAAGAAAAAGAACAGGTTTGAATCAAAGAGGCTCAATGACTTAGTAGGTCAAGTACAATCAATTCTTGAAGGACAGGTGTGCTAAGAGAGATAAGAGAGACCCCATCAGATAAAAAATTATGGACCATGGTATGAAGTGGTTAGTTGATGATAATGAGGTCGAGGGGCATGAAGGATTGACATGGGACATGGTCATGGATGCTTCAGGGACATCATCTGACCCTCCTAGGGCCACTAGATTTTCTGAACATAGAACATGGATGGAGGAAGAGGAGGAAGAAGATGCTGATTCAGAAGAGATGGAGGAGGACGGGGACGGCCAATATGTCGAGGAGGGTGACGACTCCGATGAATATGATGCCAATGCAGTTGACTTAAGATTTTTCGATGATGAATGAATGATCAATGTTGATTGTTGAATAATTATTAAACTTTGAAGTTTGAACTTTGATTGAAGTATTGTGTATTGAACTATTAAAGATTCTTTTCAATCTTCAAGTATTACTTTCATAGTTTCATAATTCAATTTTGTTTTCTTCCTCATGGTGGTTTACTGCAGCACTGGTGTGATACTATTTGATGATGGTTTGATAATTTGATTGGTTGTTAATTTTAAGTTTTAATTGTATATGGAGTATAAATCGACTTATGGATTATAGTTATGCTTATGGAGTGTTGCTAAATACTAATGTGTAGTAAAACTTGAATTATATGCTGCGATACATATAACTGATATTGACATAACTGCACTGCAGAATCCTTATTTGGATTCAACTGGGCTGTCCAGGTTCTGGGCGTCCGCCTAGGTGTTGGGCGGCTTGGAACCCCAAGCCGCCTAGGACCCGCCTAGCGCTTTTTGAAACACTGTTTCAACTACAAAATAAGGGAAAAGAGGGTGCTTCGGCTAGATAAAAAAAAAAAACAAGTGTGTGAGTGTGTGAAAGGTGTATGTGTGTACGTACATACACATGCATGTTACATATAAAAATATATAAGGGAGTGTGTATCTATAAACAGATAATTATATATCAATGCATGCAAGGACATCTACTACTTGATAACATGTTTGCCAATCAAACAGTGAGAAGAATATTAACATTGCTGTGTAAAAAGAACGACAAAATAGAAAAGTAAAACAAAACAAATGATCCAGACAGAGATAACCATTTTCCAAAACAAAAAAAAAAAAACGATTCAAGATCCAGACAAAACAAAACCAGAAGCATGAGAAAGAAACGGTAAATGCGACGAGGAATCTCATTAGTAAAGCCAAATAAAATTTTATCCTTCTGGACAGTTAGCCAACGTGTAATCAGTATGGCATATACACCGCCACCTACACTACACGTGAAAGGAAACTTTTAATCTTTCTTAAAGAAAGATAACTAAATGTTCATCATAGAAAAAGCATCATCCACAGCATCAAATCCCCAACAATCAAAAAAAAGAAAAGATAAAAAGAAAAAGAAAGAAGAAATCAACAGTGCCGAATACCTAGACCATTACCAAGAATAAGAAAACCTTAATTATTTTGGACAAAAGAAATTAAGTACTACTATAGTAAACATGACACCACATAAATAAGCTACTATATTGCAAAATATGTTATTATCCATGTCAAGTAAACAATTGTATCAATGGGAAATTCTTCAGTTGCATATATTGGAATTCAAGAAAGAATCAAGTCAAAGTTGTCCCCAAAATTTTGGTCACACAAAAGACAAAATAAGATTACAAAAGTAATATATGAAACATCAGCAATATTCTACATAAACAGCGTGGAAGAGGAAATAAATAATAGAGACACAGAAAAAAAGAAAAAAAAGACTTGATCATATTGAGGCACAAGTAATCATCATATCTCCGTTTCTTTCTACAAGGATATTGTCTTTTCTGTCTTTTATCTTTTTTGGGATAGGCATCCTTTTTCTTTTTTTCTTGGAATTTCTTTTTTTTTGGTAATCTTCTATAAGGATGATTTGATCATTATCAGAGTTAGCTTTGTTTAGACATAAAACTTGGCCATTTCAAAATACGCACCTTCCCTTTCCCACAATAGAAAGAGAAAAGTTCTAATACCACTAGGAACAAAAGGACATAGTATCTGTCAAGAGAAACCATATTGCCATATGGATATGTCACAGCAAACGAACTACCACATCACACATAAAGTTTCATGCACAGATAACCTGACTGCTGCATTATAGGAAAGGTTTCATATTTCAAGTATTGGAATCCATAGAAAATTACGCCAAAAAAGAGCATACTTAGCATCAGAAAATATCAGTGTAAACAGAAACAAAATCAGAGCATATGCATGTAAAGTATGCCCTGATATTTGTCATTTACAATGCTATGATATTTCTTCATGACACTTGCACTTGTAACATGCACGAGTAAAGGGCAACATTATATTACACTAATGAATACCCAAAACATCAAAAGTTGCACTCAAACACCAAAAATTGTTCATGATACCATTATAAACGTCAGCAATCCATTGCAGTTAAATTTTCTATCAAAAACTTTTCAGAAACATTTCAATTGAAGATAACTTCAAAGAGGACAAAACCAAATGGCAATAAAAATTACACAATCAATTGCGACATAGACCACTTAAGGCATATCAAAGATCTAGTAACAACTAGTCAAGAAATGCAAAGACAAAGCAATAGAACTATAATGAGAAGTTACCTTAGTCACCACATAGTCTATGGATGGCTCGAAACTAGCAAGAGTTTTCTTAGTAATGTCATTTGGTATTTGATACAATGTGTACCGAACTGACAACTTAGCAGCCATCTTTGCCATAGGAAAACTAGTGGCCTTCGATGCTAGAGCCGTAGACCTAGACACCTTGGGGTCATCTCAATCACCATGACCTCCCCATCTTTTGGATTCACAACAAATTGAACATTTGATCCTCCACATTCCACCCCAATCTCCCTAATTATCACAATCGAGTAATCCCTAAGTCTCTGATACTCCTTATCAGTCAAAGTTTTGAGCAGGGGCAACTGTGATTGAGTCCCCAGTGTGCACACCCATTGGATCAATGTTCTCGATTGAACAAATAATCACCACATTATCAGCTAAATCCCTCATTACTTCGAGCTCATATTCCTTACATCCCAACAAAGATTTCTCGACCAGAACCTGAGAAGTCAAGCTAGCAGCAAGACCTGACTTACATATTGCTTCAAACTCCTCACGATTATAAGCAATCCCACCCCCTATTCCACCGAGGGTGAATGCAGACCTTATAATAAGAGGGAATTCACCGATAAAGTTGTCAATGTCTAAGCACTCCTCTAAGGTGGTTCCAATACTAGAGGGTGGGGTCTTTAGCCCAATGTTTGCCATCGCTTGCCATCGCTTTCTTAAACAAGTCTCTGTCCTCTGCCTTTTTAATGGCATCAAGCTTAGCCCCAATCAGCTCGACCCCCAATCGATCCAACACACCACTTTCCGCCAAGTTTACAGCAAGATTGAGAGCAGTCTGGCCGCCCATGGTTGGAAGAAGGGCATCAGGCCTCTCTTTTGAAAAATAGATGTCGAGAAGAGAATTTTGATAATACATATTGTTAAAACAGAAGTATACAAAAATGTAGAAAATATACAGTCTAACAAAAGCCAACACTCATGACTCAACACAATAGTTAACAGACTCAACACTCAGTACCAAGAGGTAAGAGTCCTCAATCGTTGTCATCATCATCATCAGAGGGAATATCAATAGGGCAAGCCTCATCATATGCATAAGAGTCGAGGCCATCATCATTAGAGTCATCTCCATCTTCAATATAACGCTCGTACTCCTCTGTTTCTTCTGAATCTGCCTCTTCCTCCTCTTCTTCTACCTTCCTCTTACTAGTCTGTGCAGATAAGGTCCTAGGAGTCTTGACTGCTCTACCTTTTTCTTTGTGCTTCTTTGAACTCAAATATTGTATGATTTCCTCTTTGGTAGCCTCAGGAACATTTTTACATGGAGCAACATCCCCCTTAATACCGGCAAGGTGTTTTTTAAACCGGTAAATGCCCCCAATAGTGTCATTTCCACAGTAATTACATTTAATATGATTTTTATCATTTGGATTCGGGTTATAACCTTACTTCGAACCCGGATCGCCACTCCGACTAAAACCTAGAGAAGATACTTCCATAGAACAAGGTCTATTTTCATCCTTTTCTGGTTCTTCAAATTCAGGAAATGTCTAATCTCATCCCGAACTGGTTCAGGAACCTTTGTACAAGAAGCAACATTACCTCTAACATCAGCAAGGTGATTTTTGAATCGGCTAATACCCCCATTGGTATAAATTTCACAAAAATTGCACCTTATAAAATTTTTATCATTTGGTTTTGTGTTGTACCCATACTTCCAACCCGGATCACATCTTCTAAAAGTAGCAGAAATAGAAGTAGATCTATGACAAGGATTTTGTTCTTGTTCTTGTTTTTGTTTTATATAACTTATAAATTGCTTAATCTCCTCTTTGATAGCTTCAAGAACATTTTTACAAGGGGCAACATCCCCTTTAATACCGGCAAGATGTTTCTTAAACCAGTTTATGCCTCCTTTTGTATCTTTTTCACAAAAATTGCATCTCACGCAATTTTTGTCATTTAGATTCGGGTTGTATCTATATTTCTAACCCGGATCTCCACTCCGATTAACTCCTGAAAAAGACATGTCAAAATAAAACAAACAATCTATAAAATGCACTTACTTTAGTTGCTCGAACTCGAAACTTTAAGAAACACTTTGATGATTCGATCTAATGAAATGTAGTTTTTTGGAGGTCTCTTTCTCTATAAAAGGGGTTCTTGTGGTTTTACATTTCCAATGAACCTAAAACCCATCATTCTAAACTTTTATATCTTGAAAAAAACGGAAAAAAAAAAAGTACTTTTCCGCCTCTGGGCAGGGTGCAGGCCCTGGGCGGCCACCTAGGTGGGTCCCTAATCCAAATGACAAAAAAGTTGGAGTGGGCCACCGCCCTGCCCATAACCTTCAAGTGTACATAAGCCACCTAGGCGGCCGCCCAGGTACACATTTCAAGTGTACATAAGCTTCCCATTTGGAAAACTGGGCGGCCGCCTCGTTTGGCCACCTCTAGGACCCACCTAGGCGGCCAAACTAGGCTGCCCAGCCTGGGCGATGCCCCCAGGATGTCTAGGCCGCCTGGGCATTGGGCGGCCCCTTTTTTTGAACAATGATCGCCACATAGCAATGAAACTGAAGGGGAAGTTCTATAGGACAACTGTAAGACCAACCTTGCTTTATGAGACGGAATGTTGGGCAGCCAAGCAACAACATACTGATAGGATGAGTATAGCCAAGATGGATGAATGACCAGATAAGAAAGGATAGAATTTGGAATGAATGTATATGAGGGAACTTAGTTGTGGTTTCAATAGGTGAGGACTGTTGTTGCTAATCATGGGGATTTACTGGTTGAAGCCTATATAGATGCAGTCTGGGCTGGTTCTATTATGGATAAAAGATCGATATCGGGGTAGTGTACCTTTGTTGGAGAATACTTTGTGAGTAGGAGGAGTGAAAAGCAATTAGTAGTACCAAGATCGAGTGCAGGAGGTGATTATAGATCCATGGCTCTTGGTGCATGTGAATTACTTTGGCAAAAAATTCTCTTACAAGAACTTGATTTTTTCCATGAAAGTGTCAATGCCCTTGTATTGTGACAACAAGGAAGCTATCTGTATAGTCCATAATCCGGTCCAACATGATAGAATGAAGCATATACAAGTGGATCGTCATTTCATTCAAGAAAGGGTTGCTACCATGGAAATTTGTCTTCCATAAGTTAAAACAGAAGACCGGCTAGTAGATATTCTCACCAAGCCTGTGGGCAAACCTCAACTACAAATGATTTTATGCAAGTTGGGCATGACAGATATCTAGGCACCTACTTGAAGGGCAGTTTTGTGAATAATTAAGTTTTTTATATGTCTCTTGTATTTAAGTCCCTGAGGACATTTTTGTCATTTCACTTAAGGGGTATGTTTAGAACATCATAATTTTACTGGTAATAAAGTGCTTATGAGGTATGGGTGTCTAAGGGACACCACTGTAACTCTTGCTTCTTCCCCTCTTTCTAAAGTGCTATAGTTTTAACACCACCAACCATGAGCAAGATACAGACACATTCTTCCCTTTAAGTCTACATTGTGCTTAGAAAATGCATGTTGTTAACATTTGCATATATTTATAATAATGTCCTTTTTATATGCCTGTAATGGTCTTTTAGTATGCTTTCCCAAAGAGGGTTTCGACCACATGTCCCGACCTTTCATGGGAACTTATTTTGCATAATCGTTATTTATAATACTTCATTGTTAAACTATTGCCAATACATTTTAAGCCACCCCATCTTAAGTCTTACATTCGTTATGTGGTTCCCTTTTTGATAGCTTATGTCTTACTTTTTATGCTGATCAAGTTATTTACTGCCATGGAAAACACTAGACTTTTTTTTTTATTGCACCACCGAATGAACAAACATTTTTTTTTACCTTCTGTATATCTATATGATTTGTTCATCGTTTTCCAAGTGGACCAATTTTTATATTCATGAATATTCTTGTCTACTTCCCTTCATGAGCATCATTTTGTCTTTGGAAAATAGCATCTATTTATTCTTCTTCTTCCTTGAGACAGTCCTTTGTAACTGGGATCCATCTCATGACTGATGCATTTGTAACTTCTGGCAGGATCTTGTGCAGGTCATGGAAGTTTTCATGGGGCAGCTACGGTTGTTATTCGGTCTTAAATCATATACTTCATATGATGTGGATATACAAAACATAGTAGCCAGCGAAAAGGGCTTTGCGGAATGGTAGAAGAAAATTCCCAATCATTTTATGTACTTATGAGGTTATTTTGAGCGTGTTCAAATAAAGCTTGATGTTTTTGAATCTTTGAAACATCTCTTCCATGGTTCCAATAAGGGAATATGATAAACCATATAAATCATGCACATGAGCATGTGTTATCTTAACTATGAGCTTATATACAATTTTTGTTATATTAACATTACGTATCTATAACTCAACTGTTTAAGGTCTCTTTATTATCTAAGGCAAGTGTAATAGGATATCGATACCATCTGGATTAGATAATATTTTGCTGTTATTTGAACCTGCGGAGTTCCAATGCATTATTTGGGCATGATCAACATTTGGAATCGACAAACTATCGATAATTAGAATCAGTGCTTCATGGGTTGTGGGTATTGAATCATGTCTTGCAGGCTTAGTGTTCCTTAAGTTTTGTGGGCCTAGCGTTCCTTGGAGTCGATTTCATCACTTGAACTACAGTCACATACTAAAATTCGACCTTTGGTGATCCCTGGATGGCTGGATTCCACCGGTGGTGACCTCCGCCCCTAGGATCATCAAGCTCAATTTTGATGGGTGGTTCTTTGACAACATGGGCTGGCGGGAGTTGGAGGCTCTTTAGGTCTCATGGGGCCTGTCATTTACCTTCTTGGGGTCAATTTGTTGGGTTTTGTGACCTTTAAAACCTGTGAGAGCATGTAGATGAGGAATTATTGCGGCTTATGTACTTCAGCAGGAGTGCATTTGTTGGACTGACCTAGAGTTAGACGGTGTATAGCTTTGATCAAGTTCAAAACCCTTTTACCCCTGTACAAATGGCACTTCCAAAGAGAGTTCTAAGAGGGTCATCCCTTGTTGAGGTTGATGAGATGCTCATGGAAGGTTTGTAGACCAGGAGAGCTTCGTGGTCTCCTGTGTGCAAATGTAGGCTTGTGACCGCGAGGGCTAAATCCTCAACAAACTTTTGTAAGGTATGTACACATGATAGCCGTGTACTAGGAAGTAACCTTGCAAATGGATGCATGACCATGTGCATAGCGAGAGCCCCCCTTGCACAATAATGATATGGCGTGTGACTTGTGCTTAAGGTTGAGGCCTGTAATCCACATTTTGGGACCGTGGTTTCATTATTTATTAGCCAGCCTTGACGAGCCTATGATGACCATGGTATAGAGTCTAGAGTGCTCCTTGTACAACAATTGTAGTAGTTACTTAACTTGAAATTTTGACAGACACATCGTTGAAATACAACTTCACTCACTGATATAGCCACAATTCGTGAGTTACAAAGACTCAAATACCACAGAAAATAAAAGAAATACAACTCTATGAAGGCCTCAATTCATAAAAACGAACAAATTGTATTCAAAGAAGCAAACTACATCACTCAGCACATATACTAGTACATGGATTATATATGTACTTTTGTCTTTCACAAAAACCAACTCCAAACTTTACATAAGCAGCACTTGATCACATAAAACATAAATGAACTCAGAAGTTACAGCAAATAAATAATGGCGGCAAGCTATTGATCGAACCCTTTGTGCTTGGGTCACTCAACTGGACCTTTGAAGGATAAGTGTTGTCCCATGGATGAAGGTAAGGATGACTCAAATCACAAGGGCTGATCTCACTTTTCAAATGGGAAACTTATGTACATTTGAAATGCGTTTGATTAACTTTAAAATGAGAGAGAGATGAACTTTTGATGTCCAAAATAGTGAGCAAAAGTTATCTATAAACAACTTGGAAGTATATGAATATATATGACCATAGACTTAAGGAAACAATAGTAGTTTCATGAGAGAAACTCTCTAGGATCAAGAGCCAATAAAACATACTCAAATACATATCAAATGCTTGCTAAAATGTTCAAATAATCTCAGATAAATCTTAAAGAAATCAGTGATAAAAATCAAGAAGAAGATGGTGTCTAGGTGCTTAATTTCACCTAGACACATATGAAGATACACATGCATAATTTCACTAGGGGCTTAGGATTTATGAATACTCATGCCTATAAACGTGAAGAGGCTACTGTAAAATGGAATTTACAGCGAGAAGATGATGATCAAAGTACTCTAGAAGAGAGAAAGGAATGGAGTTATGGAAGTTACCTCAAGCTTAGACACAATGACAGTAAGCTTCTATGGCCATGGGAACTTTGCTCACTGCAAGATGGAAGAAGGGAGAAGAAGACTAGTTTGGGGCATGCCTCACTCTTTCTCTCTCCAAAAGGGTTCTCAAGTGTGTAGAGAATGAGGCTCTTGGGGGCCATTGAAGTGAGATATTTTCAAGTGAATAGCTCATGGCCCTTTGATGCTCATCATCCATGGCACATGAGAGAGCTTTGATCCTAGACACCCATCCTTGTCTAGCCATCATGATCAAAAGATGTGATTTCACATTCTTATCACTCTTTTAAAAAATCTTGTATTAGCCATTTTACCAAATTATCCTTTTAGAGAAAAGTTTTCAAAACTGCCATTTCTCAATTCCAAAAGTGCCGATGGTGAATTTTGAAATTGAAGAAAGAATGAACGTGTAGGGTATGCCCTTCATGTAATTTCGTAAATATCTTGTTTTCATCAAATGGGATAAAGCCATATCATGAAATTCATATGGGCTCAATCCAATGAGGTGATGTCACACATAAAGCCACTTTAAAAATTCACTTTCTCTCATGCATAAGGTTTTAAGTCAAAATTTCATGCATGCCCAAAACCTAAGGAACATGTGAATAAAATTACACGTGTGCTAAAACAACATGTGACGACTTAAGTCACTTAGGGTTTTTTTTTTTCACTTAGGTTTGTTTTTTTTTTTTTATATATTTAAAAAAAAAAATATAAACCTCACTTAAACAAACACATATATGACAAAGGACATCCACTAGGCCCTGACATCATGATGATGTCTGCCCTTGGTGGGGCTGCAGGGTGCCACATGTCATCCCTATGGCCACTTGGGTGGCATGTGGGGTCCCCCTACTAGGTGTCCTTGATTGGAATTTGGGAAAAACAAATTTAAAACTCCTCTTTCATGCTTTGGAAAAATTTCAAAAAATTTCTTAAAATCCCATAAATCATTTTCTCATTGTGGCATCAAAATAAAATGGACAAGTAGTAAATGAGATCGCTAGGCTTGAAATCTAGGTTACAGGAGTACTCCACTGGGCTAGTATGGAATTGTGGTCCAATCTCTCGGAATGAACCAACAAGCCTATGCTCCACAGTCTATGGTAGGGACGCATAATGTGGCATATCAAAGTCACCCCAATCAATGTCCCATCATTCTCAGGCAATGATCTAAAACTCGGCAAGTCGAACCGGATTCGCCCGGTTCGACTTGGGAATCGGCACAGCCCGTGTTGGTTCCAGCACAAAACCGAGAACCGCTCGATTCTAGAGCAGAACCGTCGGTTCTCACCTGGTTCTGCCCAGTTCTAGCTGTTCCCTCTCGATTCTAGCCGGTTCTAGCCTCAAAAGCACCTTCACATGTGTACGCGTCATGTGTGCGATACGCACCACTCCCACACGTGTGTATGTGTGACACGAGCAGTAGACACACTCCCACACGTGCCACACACACTCCCACACGTGCCATATGTACAACACGCACATGCATGCGTGCACGTGTGCACCGGTTTTAGCCGGTTCAAGCCTCAAAAACACCTTCACACGTCTGTACGCGTCACACGTGCGACACACACACATGTCACGCGTGCATGTGCACGGATGCCCTAGTGTTTTCACGATTGTGTTTATCTTTCAATTACATAGTTATTTATATAGCATATTTGAATACTCATCCTTCGATGTGGGATAATTCTCAAACATCATTAAATGAAAACAGAATGTAAATATACGCTATTAATAGGCAATTTTAAACACATATGCTGAGGAGGCATGATGGCTATCACTAATGTTATTTGCTTTGACTTCTCAAATTCGAATCCCCCCTTGGGCCATATAATAGTTTATCCCTTCTTGAGCTAAATTTTGTTCCCCCTTGGGCATATAATAAATTAAAGTGTTATTTCCAAAATTTGTACGCATTTTATTAATTTTACATTGATAACCAAATCTTTTATTTTATTTATTAATTTTTACATTATAAATCATGTAATGTACTATTTTTATTACAGTTGTCAATAATACATTTTAAATTAGATAATGTTATAAAATATTTTTAATTTGTTATTATTTATCTAATAAAATAATTATAAAATGTAAATTAATAATTATAATTTCAGTATATAATATTATAATTACTTAGGTTGTAATAATTTTGGATTATAGTTAGGCTGTAATAATTTGGGTTTTTTTTAGCGGATTAGGTTTTTTCGCCAAAACAAGATTTTAATGGCCATTCTTTCATTGATTTAGTCTACTCTTTATTATAGTCCACGTATAATTATATATTTTATCCATGATAATTCTATGATTTTTCTTTTATGTGATGCAAATTTAATACTTAAGTTTATACAGGGAAAGAGCATCTCAATATTCACAAATTGATAAAAAAAATGAAAAGTTAATAATGTAGTACCCTCATTTCTTATTGGATCCCTAAAAAACAACATTTATAATGAATTTTAATAATTTTTTCGGATTTTTTTGAAGTTTTAATCCGATCGATTCAGTCGATATCCGATCCGGATCGCCGATTCGCTGATCCGGATCGGTTTTGGTGGTGCCCGATCCGGGTCACCGATCCACTTTTTAAACCATTGTTCTCAGGTATCAGTGGATTACAAGTGCACCCCTAGGGATATAGAAATGTTCATATACAGGGATCCTCTTAAGGCACACGTGCACAAACTCTCCCTAGTTGGATCACACTTTAGAATAGTGGCCTCCCATGCGACTGTGGATGCATATGCTATAGGGTGGTCTTGTGTCAGTGTACGGACTCATGTCCCATGAGTAATGACCATACCATACAGGGCCATCACTCTTAAAGCATGTGGGTTCTAAGCTCTTCTTGGTTCTATGAGCCGTGACCAGCACATCATCCATGAGACGTACAATCTAGCTATATCCCTAACTCAAAGGTGACCCTCACACCTTTGTAAATAATCTCTCTCTTTGTCTCACGGATGTATCTCATTGCCTCGTGTACTCGGGGTATATGATTCTAGGCCCCTTAGAATCATCTTCACTCACTCACTCCCTCCCACCGAGAGAGGGAATCTTGGATTTGAGGCCTTATAACCATAATTCCAACAAATAATAAGCTTCTACATGAGATTGTAGGTCATGAGTCTCGTTGGTTGGTTTGAAAAGATAGTGGAGGATCACGACTATTGGGCTGGATGGGGTGCCCTGACCATAACTTTTAGTGATCAATACCGACCCATCAAAACTCATTTACAGTAATTAAAAAAAAACACTGAAAGGGTGTTTTTGAAATTTCTAAAAATCCTTAGGGAATTTTGGGAAACATGTTGTGGCGAAGGGCCCAACCCCACACATTGGCCCCACATGGATGTGGGATGTGGGCCCACATGGCCCACATGTTCTAGCCTATTGAGGATGCACGTGTCTTTTCTAAGTTGTCTTTTAATAAAGATGTTTTATTAAAGAAGGGAGCATTATGAAATTCTTGAAAAGGATTTATGTCCATATTTTGTTGGAGTAGAGAATATTTAATGCTTTGAAAATATTCTTTCAATCGTTGATTTTGACCAAAATCTTTTGACTTTGAATTCCTATAATCTCTTTGTGAGAGAAAAATAAATGCTAGTCAAAATAGGACATGTTTTTTATTGGTATTATCCTAGGTTGACTAGCAGTAGACATGGGTCAAATATTCATGGGATAAGATTTATAAATTCCTACTTAAATCATGATGGCTGATCCTGGGATGGATAGTTTAGATTTGTTTCTCTCTCAACTTACAGATTAACTAGGAGTGCTCTGACGAAGATGAGTTCTAAATCACATAGGCATAGCTAGACCCACCTGGAGACTCTAAATGAGTCCACTTCGAACAAAGGGAGGTGCCACTAAAGTGGCATTGCTTAGGAATCTAGAAAGGGTTTTGGAAACCTTATTTCTAGCCAATGCTCTCTTGCTACCTCTGAAAGAGGCATTGCCTAAAGGAGCTTCCTAACTCAGAGAATTCAGCAGGCCAATAGGATCAAAGTGTGCCAGCGATAAGGTATTTTGGGGTGGGATGTACCAAGTCCTCAGGAGGTGACCCTAATTAAACTCAAGTAAGTCTTCCCAGCTGTTCTAAGTTTATTTTCAGTCATTATTACTCAGTTGCGAAGGTTTTATTCAGCCCTTGTAATGAGTCAGATTTATTTGGCAGTAAAAGGAAAGTTCCTAGGTTCTATTTAGGGTTTTGTTTCTTATTTACAGCCTTGTTTTGTGGCTCTTGTAAGTGGAATTTGGATATAAGTAAGATATATTGGTAGAAGAAAAAGAAATTTGTTTTACTCTCTGGAGTTTCACATGGCCACTTCTTTCACAATTTCCATGGAAGACTCAACCATGATTGAGCCTAGGTTTCTTTTGGAAGGCCTTAGGTTGTTCGACCGCAATTGAGGATCTGCCCACCATCAACGTCATCAGGTGGGTATCTTAGGTGTTCCCCTTGTTAGCCCAAATACAGTGGATCTTTATTATTTTCAAAAGTAAATAGAGCTATATCAGCATGCAAGATGGGCTTTGAACTCCATCAGAAATATCAACAAACATATGGCATGTTATTCTTATCAAGATACCCACAACAAGTTGCTATAAATTCTTGGAACTCAAGAGGATGTACAAATATCCCTAGGCTTGTAATCCTCTAAAGAATCTTCAACCAAAAAATTGATTGCAGCTATTGATAACTCTTCTAAGCAATCCAAAGAAATTTCCAGCAAGCATGCACCCATTAAAAATCATTCCAGCAATATAATAAAATACCCAATAACTATTTTCTTTGCTGATATAATACTTCCCAACCTTCTTGTAGTATTTCTAGATGCATAAGATAAAGAAGAAAGTTGGAACAACTCACCAAACCAATGAATTTGCAGGCACAATTTGATAGCCTTTTAGAGAGAGAGTGGCTGAAAATGAGTTTTCTAGCAAGATATAACCCAAGATGAGACAACTTTCCTGCAAATAGTTGTTAGCAATAATATATAGAGAGAGAGAGCTCATTCGAGATGCAACGCGGTGCTTGGGTTGATCCTATGATTCTGGAGGGCTCTCATAGAGATGAGAGGCACGTCCCTGCACCCAGCTCACCAGGAAGCATAAGAGAGAGAAAGAGATTTTAGGGAGAGAAGGAGATCTCGTGCATGATACCCCAGTCTCCCGAAGCCCTTTCTATAAATATAGCTACAAAAGGGAAAATAGAGAGAGACACATGTAGAGAGAGAAATGACAAGTGTTGCCTCTCAATGGCCACTTGTCCCTCTCTTCACATGGGTCTTTCTTTTCCTCTACACAAAGCACTATCTTATTTTAAAATACTTTTTGAGTGGGGATGAAAAGCAATAAATAAATCAAAATTTGGGCACTTATTTTGTAAATATTAAAAACACAATTTTCTGTAACACCCTGTCCCTAGAACCCACCTTGTACAGCTAAATGACCTAGTGTTTGAGATTTCCAGCACCCTACAATTTGCCTTCAAGCATGTTTGTCTTGAATCAAACGTGATCTGGGATGCATTGGCTAAGAAGCAGCTATTATTGGTTTCCATGTAACAAGGTCTCTGTCCTCAAGAGGATATCTAATGTAGAGCGTTGTACATTTTTTTTGCGGCCATTCGGCCAATTTTATATAGTTGATCATTATTCACCACTATGTAAGTCTTTGTATTATAGCAATATATAGTCAACTTTATCTGTAATTGAGAATGTTTCACTGTTTCAAGTTGATGAAAGTTTAACTGTTGCTACTTGACACTTCATTTTCCTTAGTATTATAAATATCAAAGAAGAATTGAGATACTTATGCATTTATTGTTTTATTGATCTGATTAAACAGCTAGCTTAAGCAACCCCATTGGTATTATGATTCATTGCCCTTGATTTTGTAGGGAGTTGGATGTATTAGTTCGGCATCATGCAGCTTACAATCTTTTTTCTTCCGCTACAACCCTTCAATCTCTTTCGAAACTGGTATTCTCCTATAGTGGCAATGCAAATAATATTTTATTCGCAAGCATCGTTAGCAAGGATTTTTCTTGAAATCCAATACAGTGTACATAAAAGATCTTAAAAAACTAGCAACTTTTTTATTGAACGAATATGAATGCGCATTTTATCTATGTTTAGAATAACTTTTTAAAAGAATGTATTCCCCATTTGGTGTCCTCATTTTCAAACTTTCTTGGAACTTTATTTATCTTCATTGATTTGAAAGATTTGAATTTTGGTTTTGAGATAGGCTTATCTACAAGTGGAGTAAGTCAAGAAAGGAAATTTATTAAAATACCCATTAGAGATGAACAGTTTATCATATAACCCATATACCCACTAGAGATGAACACTTTATCATATAACCCATATCTTTGATTAAATTTCAAAATACCCATAAGGAAAACGATAGAGTATTATTCCCCACTTCCGAATTATGCTCACGAGAATAACTTTTTTCCAACTGTATCTCCAAAAAGAATGACTTTTTTTTTGTCTTTTATCATCTTTTTTCATTACTATAGGGGTATTCTCCTATAGTAGGCTTTCTTGAAATCCAATACAGTGTGCTTAAAAGATCTTCAAAAACTAGCAACTTTTTAATTGAACTAATATGAATACGCATTTTATCTTTATTTAGAATAACTTTTTAAAAGAACGTATTCCCCATTTGGTGTCCTCATTTTCAAACTTTCTTAGAACTTTCTTTCTCTTCATTGATTTGAAATATTTGAATTTTGGTTTTGAGATAAGCTTACTACAAGTGGAGTAAGTCAAGAAAGGAAATTCATTAAAATACCCATTAGAGATGAACAGTTAATCATATAACCCATATCTTTGATTTAATTTCAAAATACCCATAAGAAAAACGATATAGTATTATTCCCCACTTCTGAATTATGCTCACGAGAATAACTTTTTTCCAACTGTCTCCAAAAAGAATAACTTTTTGTTTCTTTCTTTTGTCATCTTTTTTCATTATTAACTCACAATCAACATGCAGGTTCAGTCGCTCCCAAGCATGATTGTCATGGATGAGATCGGAAAGCAGGTGGCTCTGTTGATACTTTGTCGTCTACTCATTTGATCATTTGATGCTTTCTCACTCTGTTATTTGCACACATTTGCATCTGCCTATTGCTTGGAATTGTATAAATTCAGGTTATTAATAAATCTGGTTAACAAGGTAAGTGTGCTGGTCTCACAGAACTGCATGTTTCATTCTTAAGATGCAGTTGTTAAGTTTCAGAGAAAATTTTGTATATTCTCTGGAAATTAGAGAGTCAAAATATGTTTTATTTGGGAGGATTAATTACATCTTAGAACCTATCCATGTTTCTATCATTGACATAATTAAGAATCAGAATGTGTGTGTATCAATTAAACTCGAGATACACTTACCCAAAAAAAAAAAACTCTAGATATAAACCCCAAGAATTATGATGGAAGGCATGTGCGGTTGATTATGAATGCTTTCATGAGCAATTTTTATAAAGCTTTGATGTTCTTTTTGACACGATTATACTACTTTCCCATGTGTGTGGAAATGATTGTGCCATGTAGAACAAGATAGTTAGAAAAAAAGTAAATTCTAGATGTTACTTCTGATGTTTTGGTCTTATTGCTGGCATTATTATTGATTTGAAAGGTTTGTGAGGCCTAATTCTAGCCTAAAGAATGGAACCATTTTCATTTTTTTTAATTTTTAATGGAAGTAATTATTTTATTTTATTTATGAAACTGAAGTTCATTGATGTCAAATTGATATACAAGTAAATGTTTATCTTTTCTTGACAAAATCAAGTCGTTGTACACCAGACTACAAATCTGATCTGACTTTTCGAAACTGCCTCTAAACACTACAATCGTAACTTGTGATTTTTTCATGCAATTATGCCTTTCTAGCTAGTACATCGGCTTCCTCATTGATCTCTCTTGATGGATATGTGAGAGTTGGCCTCATTTCTACTACAAGGTCCAGGAGTCAACAGCATTGTTATGGTACCATGTCCTTTACCCTACACAAAGTAATGAAATTAACGTAGTCTTCCCCTATAAGAATGTTTCTTGTTTTGTTGCAATGCACCTTAAGCCAAGAAATAGCTTCTCTGCCTTATCTGAGCCAATGCACCTTTAAATACCCATCCGGTGAGGGGCACCACCTCTTCGAGTGACCTGTCTTTTTCAACTTTGTTCTGCTTGTCATCACCAATTTGTTTCAAAATTCGTCACACCATAGCTTGAGAATTCATTTTTTTAACCTCGCCCATCATATAGTTGAGCTTTGTACTCTCCATGCCTTCACCTGCACCCATGAGTCATCTGTTGTTCCTTCCTATCACAAACTATTGCTTATCCAGCTTTTCCATTAACTTTGGAACTCTTGAAAGTTTTAGTTCACCAACTTCTTCTCCTTTTTTCACCCGACTCTTATGCATCTCTGATGCTCAACCTTCAGATTATGTACCACAGGTAGATCCTAATGGTTACAGGCCCACAAACTTCACAACCAAGTCGCCAAACCGTGATAATTGCCAAAACCAGTTTGAGTTTCACGCAAAGATGATACTTCACCATCCAATCCCATCATACTTTCTCTTTTCACAAAGGAGGTAACCCGTGTCTAGGTGGCAGAGCATGTCAGTCAAGTTGAAATTAAAGTGGAGAATAAAATAGTTTGGTAGGATCTAGAGAGAGAAAGAGTTGAAAGAAAATAAAGATGATGAAGAAGAAAAAGCCGGGAGCGAGAGAGGCATTTGGGAGAGAGAGGGAGGGAAAGAGAGTGGCATGACGGCCTCAAGTGACCTTTACCCCTCTTATCAACATCAAGTAATAACCTAATTACATAGTATGGACAATTCTGCCCTTATTTAGAGAACTATGACAAATAAGAACCATACAAAAGATAAGTGACAATTCTATCCATCAAATACAATAATGGTTATTCCTTTTATTTCCAACACTCCCCCTCAAGTTGGTGCGTAGATATCAATCATACCCAGCTTGCTTGTGATATCATATAATCTGTCCCGTCCAACGGCTTTGGTGAAGATATCTACAAGTTGATATTTAGATTTCATATGAGGAGACTGAATGATCTTGGCAGCAACCTTCTCTCTGTTGAAGTGACGATCTACTTCAATATGTTTAGTCCTTTCATGAAAAACATGTTTTTCTGTGCTACAAATGGATGCCTTATTGTCACAATATAGATCATGGGAAGCTTAACTCTAACCCGCAAATCAAAAATATCACTTTGATCCCCATCACTTCACATGTATCATGAGCCATTCCTCTGTATTTTACTTCAGCACTTGATCTTGCCACCACATTTTGCTTCTTACTTTTCCAAGTAATCAGGATAGCTAGTTGTGGATCTTCTATTAGTTTGGCAACCAACACAACCAACATCTGTGTAAACTGCAACATCAAGATGTAGTTGATTTGAAAAAAAATGTCCCTTTCCATGGTGCGTACTTGAGATATCTTAACGTTCTATACACTGCATCAAGGTGTAGTTTACGTGGTGCATGCATAAATTGGCTGACCATGCTAAATGCAAAAGAGATGTCTGGTCAAGGGATTATGAAGTATATAAGCTTGCCCACTATTTGTTGATATTGATTAAGATCTTTTAGCAACTCTCCCTTTTCTCCATGAAGTTTATGATTGACTTCTATAGGAGTATCTGCAGGTTTAGATCCTAAGTTGTTGTAACTAGTCCAACACATATTTTCTTTGGCTGATGACTATAACATTTTTTGATCTCGCCACTTCAATTCCTAAAAAAATACTTAAGGGGTCCTAAATCTTTGATATAAAACACCTTGCTGAAATAAGATTTAAAATCCTCAATTCCCTTCACATTATCCCCGTGTCACAACAATATCATCAACATACACTATGAGGGCTGTAATTTCAGCAATAGTCTTATTTACAAAGAACGTATGATCAGCTTGACTCGTTTTGAACCCAAATTTTAGCTATGTCTCACTGAAATTTTTAAACCATGTTGTAGGAGACTGTTTAGGTCCATATATTGCATTCTTTAACATGCAAACCTTTTTTGTTCCTCCCCTAATCTAAAAATCAAGAGGCATAGCCATATCGATTTCTTCTTGGATGTTTTCATATAAGAATACATTCTTAACATCTACCAAATGGAGTGGCCATGATTTATTTGCAGCAAGTGAAAGAACGATCTTCGTAATGTTCAACTTGGCCACATGTGCAAAAGTATCTTGGTAGTGTATACTAGGAGTCTGGGTGAAACCTTTAGCAGCCAATCTTGCTTTATAACTTTCAATGGTACCATCTGCTTTGCATTTTACAATGAATATCTATCGACATCCGGCAACGTTTTTCCCTTGAGGAAGGTTGGTGATTTCCCATACATTATTCCGCTCAAGTGCTCGCATCTCATCACCCATGGCAGCTTTCTTGTGAGTTTGTGAAAGTGCTTCTGCAACACTGGAAGGTATTCTTACAAAAGATAGAGTAGATATGAAGGCATGATACCATTCCTTTTAGATAAACTACTCTCTTCTGATAAAAGTGGTGTGGAAATAGGAAGGGGAACAACTGATGTGCTCTCTTCACTAAACTATGTTTTAGTCTCCCACTAAAGAGAGCGCTCATAACCTGTAGAGGAGAAGTATGAAACAGTTTCAAAGAAAGTGAGATCCATGGAGACATAGTGGACCTTGATAATAGGATTGTAACACTTGTACCCCTTTTGATGAGATGGATACCCATAAAATTACATTTGGTAGCTTTAGCATCAAGCTTGTCCCTCTTTGGATCAAGGATGTGGACAAAACATATACTACCAAACACCTTGGTAGGTACAAGGAACATGGTGAGTTGGGATGAAACAATTTCAGCGGGAGATTTTCCCTCAAGAACATGAGAGGGCATGCGATTTATTAAAAAGGCAGTAGTGAGAATTGCTTCAGATAAAAAACTCTCTAGAACTTCCATTCCCAGTAAAAGAGCTCGGGTAACTTCCAACAAGAGTCTTTTTCTTCTCTCTCAGCTATACCATTTTGCTGAGGCGTGTATGGACACGTTGTTTGGAACTCAATCCCTTGATCAAGAAGAAATCTTTGAGTTTGTTTGATACATACTCACCCCCATTGTCAAATCGTAAGACTTTAATTTATGCATCAAATTGCATCAAATTAAGTTTTAACCATTTTGTGATAGACTTGGAATAGATTAGTAACTTCATCTTTGTGTTTCATTAGATAGACAATTGAAAATCTAGAAGAATCATCCTCAAACAATGATTTAAAAAGCGGACCGCCCAGCGCCTAGGCGGTCCAAAAGGCCTGGGTGCATCGCCCAGGCCTAGGCGGCGAAACTGGGCGGCCCGCTCGGGGCCTGCGCCCTGCCACGAGGCGAAATTTTTTTTTTTTTTTTTTCATTTTTTTTCAAAGATATAAAAGTTAAGAATGATGGCTTTTACGTTCATTTGGACCCTAAACCCACCAGAACCCCTTTTAGAGTAACAAAAACTTCCAAAAAACTACATTTCATTGGATCGAATCATCGAAGTGTTTCTCAAAGTTTGGAGTTCAAGCAAACAAAGTAAGTGCATTTTTTAGATTGCTTGTTTTATTTTGAGATGTCTTCTTCAGGAGCTAGTCGGAGTGGAGATCCGGGTTGGAAATATGGATACAACCCAAATCGAAATGACAAAAATTGCGCTAGATGCAATTTTTGTGAAAAAAATACAAAAGGAGGCATAAATTGGTTTAAGAATCATTTTGCCGGTATTAAGGGGGACGTTGTCCCTTGTAAAAATATTCTTGAAGCTATCAAGGAGGAGATTAAACAATTTTTAAGTTATGGAAAACAAAAACAAGAACAAAATCCTTGTCATAGATCTATTTCTGTTGCTCCTAGAAAAAGTGATCCGGGTTGGAAGTATGGGTACTACCCAAAGCCAAATGATAAAAATTGTATAAGGTGTAATTTTTGTGAAAAAGATATCAATGGGGGTATTAGCTGATTCAAAAAACACCTTGTTGGCTTTAGAAGTAATGTTGG